TGATGACGCAATCAATTTTACAGCCTACAGGATGTTGAATTGTGTCTTCCAGAACTGTTTCAGTGTTAGTTAAGGATCATTGGAAGTTGCCTGATGACACCTCTTAAACAATTTCTTCATGTACAACTTCTTGAAGTTGCTGATCACATTCTGGTCCATTGGCTGTATGATTGATATAGTGTTTGGAGGCAAAAACAACACTTTCACAAAGTCAAATTGATACTCCAAATTGCTGGCAAGGTCAGGGTCATGACCAGGAGCATTATCCATGGTGGAGAAGAGCCTTTAAAGGGAGTTTATTGGTGGTTAGGTAGCTCTTGACAGAAGGGCAAAACACATCAACAGCCCATTCATTAAAGAGCTGTCTTGTCACCCATGCCTTATGGTTGGACTTCCAATAAACTCCAAGTTTTGTTCTTACCACTTTCTGTTACTTGAACACCCTGGGGTTTTCAGAGTGGTAGACAAGCATAGGCTTCAGTCAGAAATCCCCTGAAGCATTGGCACCAAGCAATAGAGTGAGACGGTCTTTCATGGGTTTATGCCCAGGTAAAGAGGCTTCATCTTTGGTGATGAATGTTCTTTTGGGCATCTTTTTCCAGAACAGCCCAGTTTCGTCCACATTGAACACTTGCTGTGGAAGATAATTTTCTTCTTCCATCAGTTTTTTAAATTCAACTAAAAACTTTGCTGCCCCTTCTTTATCAGCACTAGCAGCTTCACCATGCCTAACAACACTGAAAATGTCACTTCTTTTCTTAAATTTTTCGAACCAGCCTTTGCTGGCCCGAAAATCTTCAAATTCTGTGCCTGAAGAACCAGGTTGATCTGTCTTTAAATGTTCGTAAATCTCCCTGGCTCTTTCACAAATGAATTCAGTAGAAACTGAATCACCTTTCATCTGTTTTTCCCTAATCCAGATGAGAAGTAACCTCTCAGTTTCTGCAATTAGGGATCTACTTTTAAACACTCTGGTAGATTTGTCTCACTTTCACTTCTTTAAATTTGTCTTTCTGTGCAAGAATTGTCGACACAGTTGATGTCGACATGCCATATTCTTTGCAATGCGCATTTGTTCTAATGCCTTCTTCATGTTTTTTATAATTTCCTGCTTGGTTTGGATTGAAATTGCTTTTCTTGATCTCTTAGGCCCCATGCTGGATTCAAACAATGTCAACAGTGATCTTTTAGGTATAAACTTGCTGTAAATAAAGAATATTTTCTTTAAAATAACACTGCACTGCGTTATATATTGTCAATATGTAAAATAAATTTCAAAATTACTAATAATTTGCTTGGAAACACAGAAAAAAAGCATTTAGTTGAAGAGAGTCTCAAGCAAGATGTTACCTCCACTGAAAACAGAGAGAGTCGAACGCTTGTTTGCTGTGTTAAAAGGCTGGATGGCCCGCATAAAACTAGTCACTTTACCTTCAATTATGTTCAATTATTGTTAAAATGACTAAAAAAATTAATATTAAACTTTTAAAATTATTGAATAGTATAAACTTCTTGATATTTACTAAAATAGTAAGGAATTTAAGCCCTAGAACCGATTACCGTATATCACGGCCTATAAGACGAAATTTGAACATTAAAAAAATCTGCCCAAAGTTAGGGGGTCGTCTAAACCACCAAGTTTAAAATTCTTACCTCTTAAATATTGTGGTTTAGTGTGTCAAGAGTGGTGATGAAAACATCGTAAGCCACTCACAAGGTCTTACCACTAATTATTTTATACTGAAACTTACGTTTGGCAAGCTGGATTCAAATTAAGATTACCGGTATATTAAAATAATAAAAATGTATTATAAACCTGTCTAACATACCGTAAAAGAGATTTATACCCCTATAATAAACACAGCTATCATCACACACCCCTCCCCACGCCCCCCCCCCCATTTGCCAGTGAGGAGCCGTGGAGGTGGTCAGTAATGCATACCGGTATCGGTATATTTACTCATAATAATATTTATCTCCTATAAATAATTGATTTAAATTATATTTTTTTACAAAGAATATTCAGTAAATGAGTGCATTAATTCTTGAAACTATCGACGGTTAATTACAGACGCTCAAGTGACGTCACTAGTGTTTACACTACACCAGCTGGTAATATTTGATGCCATTACTTGAAGTGAATTGGCCTTATTTTAAGTAACTAACTATAAATAAATACAAAAATTAAAAAAAAAGATCAAAACTGAGAAATAATATACTGTATGTATGTTGTGTTGTCAAAGTAAGAGGAACAATTGTGTAAGTACGTAATATTTTTTCACTCAAATCCTAATGAAACACTACTGGAGAACATTCCTTTGTCGCAAAACAGTTTATAAATTAAAGAAAATAATTACAGTGTGTTTAATATATTACAGTATATTATAAATAAATAAATAAAACAAATAATTCGGTAAATCTATTTAAAGTAAATGGAAAATAAGCAAACATGTTATTTACCAAGACGCTTCCGTCTGGCTCAGGGTGAGATGGAGGGGAGATAACAAGGCTATTTATAGCCCATCTGAAGTGGCCAGTACCCTAATGCACCATAAATAATTCATTGAACATTCATTTTTTGTACATAGTATATTCAGTATATATATATATATATATATATATATATATATATATATATATATATATATATATATATATATATATATATATATATATATATATATATATATATATATATATATATATATATATATATATATAAATAATAATAATAATAATTAACGGTTTATTGAAAGAGCTTGGCAGCCAGAAGGCTGAAAATATACAGTTACATATTTGGGGAATGGGTTACGAATTACAAATAATATACAAGTAACATAAGTGACACAAATAAGACATATAATAACTAGATGGGGATCAGCTCAAACTACAGTTCATTTCAACATAGTGACAGTGTAAGGAGCAGTGTTTACCGGGAGTGAATACACTGATTTATTACATGTTATTGATAATTTTTACAATGGTTGGGACTGGGCTGTTCTTATAGCGATCGGTTCGTGCACGTATGGGCTGGATGCGGTTGTGGTGTCGAACAGCAATTCTCGGACAGGGGATGTCAGGTGGTAGTAGGAGCCGGTGTCGGGGATGGTGTAGAAGCTTCTTACCAAATTTGCAGATCAGGTCGTGGTGATGGTCAGTGAGAGTCGAAAGGGTCAGTGTGTTGAGCGCTTCTTGATATGTGGAGTAGGAAGAGGAGAGAATAATTTTGCATGCCCTCTTTTGAACTTTTTCTAGGTGTTTACGTTGTGTGGCATTTAGGGAGGAAGACCAGGTGGGGGAGGCATAGGTGAGCTTGGGAAGTATGAATGTTGTGTATACACTGAGGAGCTCGTGTGCAGGAACTCCGAGGGACTTGAGTCGGCGGAGCAGGTGGAGACGGAAACTGGAGGCTTTGACAACTTCACTGACGTGTGGTTTCCAATTTAGTTTGTTGTCTATGGTGACGCCGAGGAGCTTCGTGGAATCTACAACCTGGAGTGTGTTCGGACCTAGGGTAATGGAAGGAGGTGGGACAATGTCGGAGGAGAGGTTGATGTGCATAACCATGGTCTTGGTATGGTTGATGGTGACATGGTTGTTGGTGGCCCAGTTTTGGAGACTGTTCAATAAATCCTGGAGGGCGGTATAGTTGGGAGCAGAATTGTTGACGCTGATCCCAATGGTGGAGTCGTCGACATATTTCCAGCGAGCAGGGGTTTCTCTTAGGGCATCATTGATGAGCATAAGGAAGCAGAGTGGTCCCATCTTGGTGCCTTGGGGGACGCCACAGGTGAGTGACTGAAAGGTGGAGACAGCCCCTCGGAAGCGTACAGCTTGGCGTCGGTCACTGAGGAAGTCTGTAAGCCATGGTATGAGACTTCTCCGAAGCCCGAGGTCAATAGCTTTGTTTATGATTATATTGTGGTCGACTAGGTCGAACGCTTTAGTGAAATCAATGAAGGCGACAGCTACAGACGTTTTTCGTTTCTCGAGATGGCGGTATATGTAATCGAGAAAGCTGACAAGACAGTGAGTGGTGGAGGAAGTTTTCATGTTGCCAAATTGCTGAGGGTCTACGACTCCTGCAATATCAGCATAAGCCCAGTCAAACACAAAACTTTCACAGATATGTGTGTGTGTGTAATAAATGTATGTAGTAAGTACATACTGGTAACCTTTTTCACTCAAATCCTAATGAAACACCACAATTAGAATACGGTGGTTGCTGTTGAATCACATGTTGTATAAATAGTCGGAACACAGCCACACCACCGAGACGAGGGAACACTCCCACCACGCTTCAGTGACGTCACTAGTGTTTACACTACACCAGCGGGTATAATTTGATGACATTACTTGAAGTGAATTGGCCTTATTTAAAAAAATCAAGGATGGTTGGTAAAGGACTACTGAGTCAGTGGGTAAGTGTCACATTTGGGGTACTGGTCTTATACAGCAAATAGAGCTCAAAAGCTACTTTTTAAATGGAAATTTGGGGGGGGCGTCTTATGCACCCCGCCGCCTTATAGGCCGCGTGATATACGGCATTCTGATACTAAAGCTGGTTGCCCGGTCAGTGCAAGCGAGAACATGTTGAGGTCGGTTCGTAAGAAATTCGTTAACCGAATTTTTGTTCGTTAACCGAATTGAAGATCCTTATGGAAGGCAGTTCGTTAACCGAAATTTCGTTAACCGAGGCGTTCGTTAAACGAGGGGTCACTGTACAGGTATAGTGAGAACGAGCCATCAGGAGTTAGAAAATTTTTTTAAACCAAGACACCCAAACTGTTGTAGATTTGTGTTTGTCAGTGTTGGTTGCTCCACTTGATGATGATTGAAATTTGGCTGCCTGCCTGTTTTATCAAAATTATCCCTGATATTTCACCTGTCTTTCCAACACCCTCATTGAATATACAGTACAGTACTCACAAATATTTGAAAGTCTTGTAACTATTTTGTGTCTTGTTTATCCAGTTATACTGACTTGCTGTTAACTCTTTTGACCTCTTGTCCTATCTGCCATACTAAAGGTAAACATGTTCTTTATTATTTCTTTTTTCCAATTTGGTCAACAGGAGCTCTCCAGACAGCTTTTCTTGGAGACTGTGGAACTTCAGAATCAGAGAGAAAGACTTGAATGGGCAAGAACGTTCCAGGGACGATTTTTCAACTTTATGGGTTACTTTTTTTCTATGTACTGTTCGTGGAAAATTTTTATAGTAAGTACATCTAGTAAGTTGTTGTTTTTGATGAATATATGGTGATAATTTTGTCATATTATTTTCTGCACTGCATTCATTGAAAATGATAGGGGGTTAGTTCATTAAAAATTTCTTAGTCAATATTCTTTGATGTATTTACAGTACTACATTTAAAATATTGTGCTTGTGAATAATCATGGTGTGATTGATAGTATTGTTCTTCATTTAATCTGAAGTTTGATACTTTGTACAGGATAAGTTTTGCAAGGTGTCATGCTTCTATGACAAGGAATAGAGATTGAATGAGACCTTATATCATTACTCTGTATACTGTATGCTTGGATTGTTTCCTTGGTATGACAGGTGATACAAGGTGCCTTCCTCTGATAAACTGGGTTTTTGTGATTTAGAAAACCAAATTTTACTGATACATTTATTATAAGAATAGTTATTAATGAATCCATTCAGTGACATTATTTTCAACTTGGCTAAAGGGCTTAGGGGAATTTCCTCTTTCAAATCAGGCAGGTTCAGTTGACTAGAATCCAATTTATGAAGTCTGAAGGGAATTTTAGCACAGCAACCTACCTTCTTCTTGCATCCTTCTGAGAATATAAGGAACAGTGACCTTGATAGATGGTAGTCTTTCATCCTCAGGGGTCATGTGAATTACAGTAGAACCTCAATAAATCAGACTAATTGGGGCAGACCCCAAGTCCCAAAAATATAATAGTCCGAAAATGCATAAGGTTATTAAAACACTACAGGTTGTACCTCTCTAGTCCGGCATTCTGTGGTCCGGAAACTCCCGTGGTTCGGCACGATTTTATTTTGTCCAATAGGTAGATAGGCAGCTTTTTTTTTTTTTTTTATCCGCATTATTATTATTATTACAGGAGTATTAAATTTTTGCCCCTCAGGCCCCAATGTGGGTCAGTGACCTATGCACGGGTGGGCTAATCCCCATAAAAAAAAAACAACAACAAAGCCGCGGGAAATTAAGGTTTGTTTACATCCTGCAGTTCGGCTGCTCTCTCTCTTTCTCTCTCTCTCTGCTTGTCTATACAGAGTACAACATTTAACCCTTCAATATATATGAGCAGTAAATAAGTGTTGCTTTCATATTCTTATGTTGAGTAATGACGATGTGTTTTCACATGCGCATACTTACATACGCGCAGTCTCACTTTTTTTCTTTACCATTAATGGTTAGCCACTTATATTGTTCCATTTATTACATTAAATAACATTACTTCAAACAAGTATATTAATTTTTTTACATTAATTTTACTACAGCTACAATCAGGGTCTTATTTTCTTCATTTTTATATGTAGAACCAATCAGTAACTGGTTTTGTAAGCATTAACTAAAACAATGCCGGCAACCGTCTCGTCTCCTCATGTTAATATTCCACTTATTATTAATGAATTGTATTGTTCATTTTGCACACAAACATTAATTCAATAAAAAAAATTCAGAAACATTAATTGAAATATATATGAACGGTAAATTAGTGTTGCGTTCATATTCTTATGTAGAGTAATGACGATATGTTTTCACATGTGCACACTTACATACGCGATCTCTCTTTTTTCTTTACCTTTATTGTTAGCTACTTCTATTGTTCCATTTATTAACATTAAATAACATTACTTAAAACAACCATATTAATTTTACTACAGCTACAACCAAGGTCTTATTTTCTTCAGTCTTATATGTGGAACCAGTCAGTCACTGGTTTTGTAATCAACGAAAAAATGCTGTCTCATTTCCTTGTGTGTTTTAATATTCTACGTATTATTAATGAATTGTATTGCCCATTTTGCACACATAAACATTAATTCAATCAAAAAGACATTCAGTAATAAACAATAATGAATCTTTTGTACATAAGAGAAATGACGCTGTTTACATGATTGTGCACGCCGTCTGAACGTTGGTGGGCCGTTCAAACACGTTAAAATTCGAGTTTCTGCCGTCAAAATTTTAAATTGTTTTGTTTTTTTGTGTTCAAATAAAAAAACGTCGAATTAAAAACTCGCGAAATTTGAGAAGCTACTGTACGACATTAAACCTTTCAATATGTCTTCAAAGAGACCATGAAGTAGAGAAAGTGGTGCTAGTGCTTCCAAGCATAAGCACAAGTCACTATCTATCCAGGAAAAGGGTGAATTTCCATGGCCCGGAAATTTCCATGGTCCGGCACCGGTCAGGTCGCGAGGTTGCCGGACTAGAGAGGTACAACCTGTATTACATCAACAATAGAAAAAAAATGAAACAGAACTCTCTGGGTTGAAAATCAGACATATGTCTGGTTGCCGACAACTGTTTTCACCGAGATGATTGCTAAGTACTACTGTAGTGTTAAATTTAAGTAACCACAGAATTTGTCTTCGGAATGAAGCAAAAACTGTTTACTGTACATTACTATAAAGATAATCATTAGGAAAAAATAATTGTAAGGGTATATTGCATGTGGAAGATGAGAGTGATTTGGGAGCAGCAGGTGGGAGGGAGGGCGGGCGTAGTGCAATTTCATCATAATTCTCGTATAATTTAGGTTCATTTGGTGCCAGGTTGATAATATGTTAGCATAAAAGTACAGTATCAGCTTTCCTGAAAAAAGAATCGCACACTCAACACGATGAGTCATTTGTTTACAAAAGGCAAACAGCTAATTGGCTTAGATCCTTCACTCATACTTCCCACAAAATCTGTCTTCAGCATTTAGTAAATTAGTACAGTACAGTACTGCAGTGTATTTATCACACTTGATAAATAATATTGTAATATATAGTATTATTCATTAATCAAATGTCCAGGTGCACAAGTAGCCAAATTGAGCCATCCTATATCACTCAGAGGTAATGTCATCTCTGACCACACTACACCCCACAAAACACAAGGGATACAGTAAACAAGGCAGCTGCAGATAATGGAGGAGGGCCGGAGTTAATACTAAGACCAAAGACATTAACGAGGACAATTTCCTTAACGAGAGCGGAGTTTGAAATACTATGGAGGGTACAGCAACCCAATATAGTAGGTGTTGTAGAACTTTTTGTACTGAGACAGAATAATCGTACAGGAGGAATGTAAGTTCAACATACAGTAGATGGATATAACTCATTTAAGAACCTTTCCCAAGAAACTTGCAAGAGGGGTGTGGTTATCTATGCTAGGCAAGAATTTAGAGCCAGTCAGGTGAGGGTGTGGGGAGAGGATGTTTTCGAAGAATCGAAGAGGTGTAAATTTAATCTGAAGGGGAGAAACTTACTCATTGTGGGATGTATCTAAAGATCCCCAAACTGTAGCTTATTACAAACCAAAGGAACCCATTTGACAGTGTAATGGCACTAAAACCCTAGCCACCTCCTTGTCATGGGGGACTTTAATTATGGCGACATTCACTGGAGAAATGAATCCACTTCAAACTCCCTAAATCCGACTCACTACAGGGGCAATCACCCAAACCGCTGGACCTCATCATAACTAACGAGGAGGGTATGGTGGCCAAGCTGGAACACCTAGCCCCTGTTGGCACTAGTCACCATGTAATGTTGTCCTTCAGATTTAACTGTTACTTGGTTCATAACAAAACCAGGTTCAAATATTACAAAGGAAATTATGACGGGATGAGGGAGGAGATGAGGAGTATACACTGGCCTGACTTGCTAAAAATAAAGCGCAGATACTACCCTAAATATGATAGCCAGTAAAGGTAAACTATTCACGATAAGTATATACCCAAGACCAAACCCAGTGCCTCCAGGAATACAAGAAGACTGCTGATACAAGAACCATGTGGCGGTCAGCAAAAAGAAAAACTCAGGATTTCGAGGTGTGGGTTAGGACAAATGATAAGCAGGACAGGAGGATATACAGGGGGATCTCCTTATAACAGCATTCTTTCTACGAGAATTCAATGATACGACGTTAAGGAATTTGCACCTTACATTCGCTATATGAGGGATATTGTTTGATGATACGAGAAGCGAGTACAGTGACCACTGGGGTTAGTTATACTGCAGATTTGTTCCTTTGAAAAAGACCAAATTTTGAGCAACATATTACTGTACATACTTTGTACTCTAATGTACTACACAAAAGGAATAAATTTTGTTAAACTATGAGATGTTTATACTCAAATAAATCACTATCTTACAGGGATTCCAGCAATGTAAGTTATATTCTGTTAAGTCTAGTCAGCGACATTTTATAAGATAAACACTTTAAGCCTAAAACCACCTTCACCCTGGCTGGGAGGGATGGGAGGGGAGGGAGAACATGACAGCCAGGCAGAAGGTTATCTCGTCGTATATATCTCTGTCATATAAGAGTTTAAATTTTTCTCTTATAAAATGTCACTGAATTGACTTGGCAGAATAGATCTTTTGCTGGAATATATAAATTGATTATTTAATACAAACATCCATAGTTCTTATATTATAAAATTTTAGAAATTAACTAAATATATTTGAGTACAGGTTTGCTTCCTTATGACACTATTTCTTTTACCTTTCTCACAATATGTATTTAAATGATGTGTAAAAAATGAGTAAGAATATAAGAAAGTTACATATATCTACCCGAAAATACGAGTTGAAAAAAACATAACACCCCAGCTTGGCCCAATAACCTGCCTGGTATGGTGATGAGTCTAACAGCTAAGTGTTGCTCAGTTTACCGCTGAGTAGACGGAAACAAATAATGATGTGGTTCTGACGCCTCCTGATGTAGATGTGCAGAGACGTGTTTGTAGCGCATCAGCCAGGCGCAGCACCCCTCCCCTACATTCCTTCCGCCCCTCCCAGCTACCCTCTCCCTTCTCCAGTGTTTGAATCCTATCTCAGTTTGTCCGCCTACTGAATTGCATTTATTTATTGTCATCGGTATACTCAGTGTTCGGGACGCATCCTATTTAACCCATGTATTATTCCCTCCGTTAAGAAGCCATCTGAGCAGACTCAAGAATGTATCTACTCGATTATCGATTATACCGTATGCCAGATCCAGG